CCTGCTGCCATGTAATTTCCTTATGATATGAATTAGCCTGAACAGCTGCTTTGTGAAGAGATTATTTTGTAAAGGAAACTGGTATATGCAGAATGGGTAGCGGAGAAACTCTGTAATACCTGTTTTGTTCTGCATGCCTTTAAATTCAGAGTGTGATGGAGAACAAGAATAGGTATGCATTAAAAGCGCGTTTTTGCACAGGTAGCTTGCAAAATGATAAAATAATCTATGTCCCTTTTGAAGTACGGCTTCTGCATATTATTGCTTAAAGAACACATCTTGGTGTGGTGCTTCTCAGTATGTGTTTTTATAGGATTCTTCCCTTGGGAGTTGATGGCATTTGCTGGCTTACGTAGTTATTTTCCTGAAGACTTACAGTGGTTAGGAAGGAGAAGAATTTTGGACTGTTGATGTTGGTACTTTTGGGTGTAGTCACAATTGCAGAGCAGAGGTTTGCATGTTAATGGGGAGGTTAAAGCTTTAACTTATTTGAGTTTTACTTAGGATCTTAAGCACTGGTGCTCGCTTGTCATCTTAGCTGCCTGCAAGGTAACCTATCCTTGCTTTCATAGGCAATAATAATTGTATTGAAATGGCAGCTTCACATCTTCTGTTTATCTGTAAAGTATTAACGTAGATGTCTAAAGGAGGATTAGCTTGTTAGTTTTATTTTTAATGGGTTGAATGAATAAGTTTGGCTAATATCTACAAGGTGAAATGGATATGAGCTACGTAAACTTCCAATTACTAGTTCAGGAGCTGATAGAGTGTTTTGTCATAGCTTGAACAAGGATACTGCTTTCCCAAGTCAAATGTGTAACAACTAGAATATATGTACTTTTCAATCATTTTTTGTAAACGCTTTTATTGCTTTCCTAAAAACTAAAAAATCCCAACCCCCATCTCCCCTAAACAACTTGTCTTATCTGACTTTGTTACTATGCTCTAATTAAAATCTAGTGGTTTCTTTGCTTGAGGTAGAAACAGAATTGTATTAGTAGAGAGTACGTAAAAACTCTTCAGTTAATCATTCATTGGCAGGGAGGAAAGTACAAGTTATTACTTCCACTTTTTCAATAATTATGCTGGTACCAGTTTCTATCTAAAGAGTGATATACTTTTTAAATTAGGGAACAGGTATAGTAAATTGGATAGAAGCGACCACCCATGATATTGTGAGATTTCTATTCAAGGTACTGGCTACCAACATTCTCACTGAAGCGAACACTGTCTCATGGAAGCAATATACTTGTAACTTCTTCAGCTAAACTTGGATTTAGCTTGAAACCTAATGAGGTCTGAATTGTCTGGTTCCTCAAAAAGGAGTAGTTTGTGCAGATTTTTCTAATTTGGTATTTGAACTGTTTCAGCCCATCCATTTGGTTCAGGTGTGCTCCACAGTTTCTTACCACCAAGTAGGTAGAACATCTTATTCACCATGGAGGGAAAAAAGCTTTTGCTTTTTTCGATTTTGCTAGTTATTGGTTTTCAAGTTTATTTTCAGGCCTCTGGTGGCACATCTCTGTGGTGTATAGAGCTGCATGTCTGTGAAGTCCTGGGTGAGGAATTTCTTTGACTAGCTAACAACTTCGAAATCAGTTGGAGTCGAAGTAGAGTAAGGTAAACCAAAATAGAAATCTCTGAAACATTTGTTGCCTGATTTTTCTAAATACATATATAAAAAAGTTTGCGTACAGAGAAGACTATGCTTAAGTTTTTCTCCACTACATCCTACACTGTGAGGTGTCTGTCCTGCCTCTTCACTGTTGTCCCTTAAACCCTGAAATGTGTCCTACACACAGATTTGAATTGGTTAAAGTTACTGCCTTCGTGGGAAAGGAAACTAGGTTTTCTTTTGTATACTTTTTTTTTTTTTGAGAGACTTCTAGGAGTTCCCTTAAGCTTAGTTTTTCACTAAAACTTCATCGTTTCAAACTTCCTCAGAGATGATTTTTAAATGTGTGGTCCAGGCTTTTACTTGAGTTGCCATGAACGAATAATTCTGTAGCTCACTGTGAAGATGACTGGTCATAAAGTAATGTCTAAGATTTTTGATCTTATGCGTTGATTTTTATCTCTGAAAGTTCTGGTGTGGGACGTAACCCTCTGAGTTTCTTTATACTTCACTTTTGCCTTTGTCTTTATTTGTTGCTCTCACATAAGGCATATCTTTCACTGAGACCTTGTACTTCAAATTAAATGAGTAGCACGTATATTACAATCTGATCCATGTAAAGGCATTACTTAAAAATATTCCAATCAAACTCTCTGATTACGGAAATGTAAGAAATACACCTGGCTGTAGCACTCCAACTAGCATGGCTAGAAGTAACACATAAGAGTGGATTGAGACTGAAAAGTTGATTGCAGAAAATAACAGAAAGTAATCCTGTTAAGCTGAGAATTCTCTAGCATGAACTGGAGTATTTAGGTGAAAGGTTTTGAGATTGGATTTTTTTTTTTATGTCCCATCTTTAGTGATCATCTGTTTTGAAGAGAGGTGGGGGGGAGAAAGAAAAAGGAGATGATTCCTTATTGCTATGCAGTTAAAGGTGCTTAGTGATAGAAACAATGAAGAAGTATGCCTGTCCTGTAAGGTAGTCTAAGGAGGCTGCCAACTTCTCTGACTTTCAACCTATTGTAACTGTTTTTGAGGGAGTCATAGGTTGTCTGAAGACAAGGGACTAGACAGTGGAGAGGGGCCTCGCTAATGTCCTTGACTCAAAGAACAGGGAGGCAGCAAAAGCACACCTTGGTTTAAATATTGAAAGAAAACTAGCAAAGACCTTAAATGCCTCATCTGAATGTAAATCTTGTTTGGAGCTTGCAGCAGACTGCAGTGGAAGGGCTAACCACAGAAAATAATATTTTTGGAAAAACAAATAAATCTTGCATTCTACATTGCTTTTCAGGGTCTAGCTTAACATGTAATGGCATTTGACTGCAGTTGCCATTGTCTCATCTCTTTATAGATTTTGTGTCTTATAGCACTGTTTCTGTTCTCTTCATTTACTGCTAGTGTTTGGGGAATGGCTGTTGTCTGAAAGGACAAAACCTGTATATACTATTGTGTAGATGGTCTGCATTAGTTACATAATCTTTCTTGGCTTTCATCCAATGCAATGAATGGCATAAAGCTGTTCCTGTTTTCTAGTTCTTTACCTTATGGTCTTTCAGAATTATGATTTTTCTGAACTATGATGATTTTTAATAGGTAGTGCTAATATACTTACCTGATTTGAAGTCAGTTCCTACTCTTACAAAGATAACCTCGACCTGTTTATTTCTTTTTCCGTTGGTGGAAGAGCATCTCTTTGTGTAGGAGGTTGATAGTGACAGATTTTAGTTCCTTTACAGCCTACTTACTCATCTTTGTCTGTCTTGGCTCTTCCATGTATAACTGGCATATGTTGTCCAGCTAAAGGTGCTGTATGTGTTAACAAGAAACATTTTTGAAGTTGACATAGTCCAGAAGACACTGTTGTCTTAATGCATTCACAGTCTCTGTCAGTTTTTTGTTTTGTTGAGGTGAGGACTAACAATCTGAAAGTATATTGTGAACATTTCCACAGTTCTGCTATATGCTTTAATACTGGAATCTATGTAGGTCAAAATTGGTAAGTTAAATGTAGACAAGTCACTTTGTCATCAGTTATACTTAGTATCCGTTTTGGAAAATGAATGGTAAGAATATGAATAGAGCAAACCAGAAACTTCATTAAAATTGTAGCTTTTTGAAAGAGAGACAATGAGAAGATTACAGTAGTTGGAGATGGTCCTGATACAATTAAAACCAAATACATATAAATCCTATTCTAGGTCAGGCATTTCTCGTTACCTTTACACCCATGACTTTTTTATCAGGTTCTCTTCAACAGCCTACTTAGAGCTAAGGAGCTTTGGGAGCTGCATACTAATCATAACTACTCTTCTGAGATAAGCCTACATTTCTGCAACTTGTCAGAGCTGTACAAAAGACTAGTGGCACCCTTTGGTAAAATGTTTTGTATACTGCTCACGGTTTTGAATATTACAGCTCTAAAAACTGATGATCAGGTATTTTAATACTGAAATACCATGTAGGTATTTATTCTTCTGGAATGGTGCTTTGGTAGGGACATGAGCTCTTTGTCAAATCTTCCATATGATTCTTTTGTAGCAACAAGATCCTCTAGAGATCTCTGTTAGTGTCCAAACGTGGAATTACAGTACAGCAAGAAACCGTTGAGTTGAGATTTAGCAGTTGGTGGATACCGGCTCCTTTTCAAGGTCATTTTCAGTGTCTCATCTTCTTCCTTTCTTTTGGAGAAGAGAGAATTAATTTTAGAGTCAGGATATGTCCTTAGTGATAATGTACAGCATTATTGATACTGAAGAGAGGTACAGTGGGAATGATCAGACAAGTTTAATAACAAGTGTGGAAGTGTTTGTGTCTCTCTGTTTATGATTGTTTCTAATACAAGGTTTTGAAGTAGATGTTAAATGAGAGTGTGTAGCAGGTAAACATGTTAATACAACTGAATTACAGAATTAAATTTTTATACCCAATATGTAGTACATGCAGTTTGCTCAAAGAAGTGAAGAAGATTCCAGAAAAATATTTACCCTTGTGATGCAAAACCTAAACTATTAAACACTTATGACAAATCAAAGTCAAGTCAGGTGTATTCGATATCCATACAGGGAAAATGGTGATTTTAAAATTCTCGTGGAAATATTTTCCTTACATGTTATCATCTGAACACTACTATAATATAACATTAAGCAGCATTCTGTCTTCTGTGATAGGGTGGATTGAAAAACAGCAAGCATGAATGCACGCTGTCCTCGCAAGAATATATTCATGAATTGCGATCTGGAATTTCAGAGGAAAAGCTTCTTAATTGTCTAGAGTCTTTGAGAGTGTCTCTAACTAGCAATCCAGTCAGGTAAGTAATAATGTCTGCTGTAGTTTACATCATGATGTTTTTGCTAAGCAATAAGGAGTTGTGGGTTGGTTGGTTGTTTTTTTTTTTTTTTGAAACCAGAGTAATTGTGCTAATACTTGTTGGCACAAGAAAGCAATTCTCAGCACACTGGAAAGAACAAGTGAAATATTTGCAACTGTCTGCAATATATTCTCACCTTTCACAGTGGTTCTCAACAATGTCTAGTTGTTGGAACTGAGCGTTTGTCTTAAGGGTTGATCATGTCATCCTGGGAAGCGAGACTTAAAGAAGTGTCTATGAAGAGATGTACAATCAGTATTGGAGACATAACTTTGCAAGTTTTAAATTTGATTAAGAAATAATTAAAACCATTTTTCTTCTTTCTTTCAGCTGGGTTAACAATTTTGGACATGAAGGTCTTGGACTTCTGTTGGATGCATTGGAAAAGCTTCTTGACAAGAAACAGTAAGGACTCGGATCATTTGAAGGGAGCGGTAGCGGAACTTGTGAAGATTGATTGTGCTTATGTTATTTTCCTCTTCCCTTTTAAGGCAAGAAAGTATTGATAAGAAGAATCAACATAAACTTATCCAGTGCCTCAAAGCATTTATGAACAATAAAGTAAGAAATATTTTAAATTCGAATACTTGTAGCCTGATTGGTTTTTGTTGCATTTAATATCTATGTAGCATGCTGAATCTCAGACAAGGAAGGCAAGCTTGTATATCCAGTGTGAGCTGACCCTCTGGAAACATAGGTGTTAAACTTAGAGTTACTTTTTGTTGAGAGACTTGTTCATAAAGCTTTCTGAAAAATGCATTTTGTCTTAGTTTTGTTAAATATTACTGATTTTCGAAAGTAAAATATTTGGCAAACAGGATGATAGTATAGATTTAAGTGAATTTGGAAATAATTGGTTGTGAAATTGAAAGGAAAATATTGTTTTATAAATTCAGATTTCAATACATGATTGTTTTTGTTAATATAATTTCTCTTTCACGTGATTTTAAATTGCGTATGATTTAATCTTTTCAGCTACAGTTTTTAAGTTGACAGGTAGTTGGTAAAGGATAACATTTCAATCTAGTTTAAGGTGTATCTAACTTGTTTCTAACATGAGTTACTCATGTTCATGAAGTGTGAGTACTGTTTCTAAAGTTGATGTGTTAAACTTGTTATTTTGCTTTATTCATAGCAAAATCTAAAGTGCTGTTGTAATGATTTATTCCCCCTACCTGTAATAAATACAACTCTGCATTAAAGTTACTTTTAACTACTGTTACTCAGTTAAGTAAAATCTCACAGAATAGCCTGTGTGATGAAGTGGGAAAAGTAAACTTAACTGGTCATGTTGTTCCCCCACCGCTGTTCTTACACTTACACTAACTTCAAACAATTAGATATTCTGTTTGCTAACTATCCTGAAGTTAATGAAAATGAATAGGAAAACTAATGCTACTTTGAAATAAATGCCTATGTGTGAGGTTTTTCTTTTTATTTATCTGTATAGAAAGTGAAATAGAACATAAAATAAATAAAAAAGATAGTTGTTTCAAAAAAGAATTTCAACCTCTATTGTTCATTAGATGGAAAATGTTATTTCAACTGGCCAGGAGCTGTTACAGTTATGGGGGGAGATGACTTTTTCATACTGTCGAGGTGTTCCAGATATAAAGAGAAAATAAAAACGGGTTTTTCTTTTGGTGGATACCTGATTTTAAAAGATACGGTATCTTCCTTAGGTACTGACTCATTCTCATTCTTAGAGAAAGCCTCAAATGTGAGATTGGGAAGATTGACTTGTGTGCCCAAACAATAATAGCCAGAAGGTTTTAGTAGAGTGTTGCTGAACTTCATATGGGGAGGTGTGTGTGGGGATTCCTAAGGATCTGAAGCCCAAAGATGATGAGTATTCAAGGTAAATACAGTCTGTTCACTGTAAGCTTTTTTTTTTTTTTTCCTTTAAGTATGGATTACAAAGGATTCTAGGAGATGAAAGAAGTCTCCTGCTGTTATCGAGAGCAATTGATCCAAAGCAACCACACATGATGACTGAAACAGTGAAAATACTTTCTGCTATCTGCATTGTGGGAGAGGAAAATATGTAAGTAAGATACTGAAACAAATTGGGGTGTTCTTGGTGGGTGGTGTGTGGTTGTTTGGTTTCTTTTTTTGTTTGTTTGGTTTTGTATTTTTTTTTTTTTTTTTTGGAATGCTCATGAGTTGTCAGTTTAGACACAGGTGAGAACTTTGCAGTGAAACAAATGTAACCTGTTGAGTCTTTGTTTTCTTAATGTGTTTAAATGAAAAGAGACTTTCACCTGTTCTGTTGCATTAATTCAGTATTAAATTAGACAAAAGCAATTAAGCAGAGATCTACAAACCATGGCTTAAGTGGAAGGTCTGAAAGGACTATGATTGCTTACTGTAGAGAAAAGACGCCTTAATAAGCCATAACTGTTCATAAATGGCTGCTGGAGAAGGAATACATACTTCATTTCATATATATCCCTGATGAGTATAACAAGGAATTTTGAACTTTTAGTTGCCACAAGAAAAGCTGTCAGATTTAAATACAATTTTGAACAGTGTGTGTTAGCATGGGGCACTACTGAGCCTATTATTGTGGGAGGATTGAGATTCGGGCGTCTCCCCTGAGGAGGGGAGATAAACTCACTGTATTTGAAAATTACTGGTTTGAGATCACATGTTAAGATTTATTCATTAGTTTCGAAGATAACATTAATCATGCAGAAATAAATATATTTATGGATTTTATTAAAATATCTCTCTACCTAAACATAACAAATTCGATAGGGGCAAAAAGTTTACATTTCTAGCTGAATTTTTCAATAGTTCAAGCTATGGAGTTAAGTAGCGTATGTCTATGAGCTTTTTAAAACAAAGATTATTAGTTTAGTCTTAGTTTACTGAAGGTTGAAAGTAGCAAACTCCATGTCTGGTATGCAATACACGGATAAAACCATTTTGATTTCTGAAAAGACAACTTGAAGTCAGTTAGTACCTAATGCACAGTCTTGCAAAGGTCTAGTGATTTATTTTTTTCATTGCTTGTTTCTTAGCTGGGTGTCACAATAATTTAGAGATTTATTCACCTTTTTTTAAATTCAACATTAATATTGTAGGTATTAACACTTGGTTAAGTGTTGGCTTGTTTTCAACTTTACATAGATTAATTGTAGATAAATGCGTTCAAATTCTCTGTCAGTACACTCAAGTCTCAAGTTGTGTAAATAGTGGACTAAATAAAATGACAAAGTTGGCTGTGGTATGCTTTTTGACATTTTATCTTTCTCTTAGTCTGGACAAGATTTTAGGTGCTATAACAACTGCTGCTGAAAGGCACAACAGGGAACGCTTTTCTCAGATTGTTGAAGGACTGGAAAACCATGAATTCTTACAACTTCAGGTGGGTTTACTTTTTTATGTGCTTACTAGTACTTCAGAAATAATCTAAAATACTAGAAGACTGTATTATTTTATCATCTGTAGATTATTTAACAGCAAAGTCTTTTAGTGCTGTTAGTTTGGTGTTCAGTAAAAGAGGAAAAATAAATAGAAATGTCCTGCTGATACTAGATTTCCTAATTGTTAACGGTGTGAAACCAAGAAACTCACTTCCTTGTCCCAAAAATAGGATTAAAAAGTTTTGAATGTAAAGAAAAGAGAGTAATGAGTGATTCCCCCCCCCCCCCAGTCTTGCCCCACCCAAAGTAAGCAAAATCCCTCGTACTTACAGTTTGGAACTGGTTCCATTGAAGTAATGTATTTGTAAAAAGGCAGAACAAGTTTTGTGTGTTGCTCTTGAAATGAGTATTTGGGTTTAATTTAGAACCACAACTGGAGTGCCTTAACTAAGCACACACATGAAGTATCTTACTGTTTGAACTACCTGTGGCAGGAACATTTGGTAATATTTGGTAATATTACTAAATAATATAATATATATTTTTTTTTTATAGCTTTCACTTTCAGTTTACTAGTTCTATAGTTGGCTACAGATAGATGCATAGCTTAATGTATCTATCCCTGTGCAGGGAGTGCTTAGATTTCATACGCAGTCATCTATTGAAAAGAATTGCTTCAGGAACTACAGTGCTATTGCCTTGTGGGTAGTGCGGTAATTTACTTTTTATTCTTACCTGTCCTGAGTCCTGTGCGAAAGTATAACACTCTTTAATTCCTAAGGATAGACATGCAGATTTCTTCTATTGCTAAGAAATCTATAAGATATACATGCAGCTGTGTTACTACTGCTGGTACTTTGGGCAGCAGTATATGCAGCCTAGTAAATATTCAGATATATAATAACTATGGCAGATGTGGATGGGGTGTGTCCATTTATGGCAGGGTACCTTTTGAGATTAGTAGTGTGCAGGAGGATAGCGTTGCTACAAGAATGGTGAATTCCTCAGTGTGTGTTTGGCATCTGTCCTTCATCAGCCACTGGTGCATCTCTAGCCATAATCTAGTGAGTTTTTAAAATTATTTTTATAAAATAAGTGTCTCATGTGCCAGTGATCTTTACTGAGTCACGTCCTGTGTCACATGTTCATTACTGCTTATGTGTAAGTAGATAGAGGTTTTTTATTCTCTGTATACACCTGAATAGCCCAAGACTTCTGGTTGCTATTAGAATGCAAACTTTTTTAATTGCTTTTTTTTTGATAGCTGTAACTGTTTGCATAGAGACCTAGTGGCTGAATATCCTACTAAAGGATGATTTTGGCTGAGTTCCTTCTCATAATACAGTATTTATCCAACTTCTGTATTACTAAGGTACTATAGCTGAAAGGCAGGGCAGGTATACCTGCATGGAAGGTATACTTTTTTCCATTATTAGATTATATATGTGTCAGCAATAGTTGCCTTAATGCTATGTTTACTGTCAGTAGTTCTTGTTTCAGAGCTGATGAGTTGATGATGTTCAGTATGTTTCTATAAATGACATTCTAATCTTAATAATGCTCTCACAAAAGAATTAATTTTGAAGTCGTCGTCTCCTTTATGACTGTGATTTAAAGCAAACAAAATAACCACACAACATTTCAGCCCCCCCCCGAAAACTCACTTATACATCAGTAAAGGTACAATTGCAAGACTCATTAACTTGTTTCTGACAAAAGCGTTCTTTACTTGTAATGTATTAGCACAAGCCATTAAGCCTGAGTCTCTTCTGGCAAAAGCAATCATAGCAGATGGCACCTCTTCTCTCTATTAATTTCAGATTGGACATGTACTTTGGCTTGTTAAGTCATGTCATAGTAGTAAAATAACAAGAATCATTCAAGCGAGCATGATGATATTACATTATTTGAAGACACAGCAGTGTAAAGGGAATGCCTTTTGAAAGAATGTTTTAATAGAAATGTAAGACTCCATAAGGTGTTCCATTAAAACTAAATAGTGAATGTAATTAGAACAGGAAGGGTGCTTTTATCTTACTTTTTTTCTCTGCAGCTACTGATTTTTATTTTATTTTTTTTTTCCTACTCTAATGCTACCTCTATTTGCAGTTAACATCTCTTACTAAGCTTGGTATTTCCCTGGAGTCCTATTTTAGTCTTTTAACATGTATCAGCACTTGTGACATTATGCTATTGTCTACCTGTTTTAAAGTAAATCAATTAAAGTGCACAGCTGTTTGATTAAAGCATTAGCCAGTATCCTGAGACCTCGGGTATTTTGCTGAAGTGCTGTGTGGGAGTAGAAAAGACACCTGGGGATGTGAATTATTTTGTGTTTGGATGTTTTTGGGGTGGCTTTGTTATGGGTGTGTTTTATTAACTTTTGATTACTGTATAAGCAGGTTGTTTTCAAATTGGTGATTACTGTGGAAAAAGATAAGTTGCATTGTGTTACTGTAGCTGTAGTGTGGGAATAACTTTCTGAAATAAAATATGATCTTTTATGTGATAAAATTTTCACAGAGCAGGAACAGTAACAATATGAAAACAGAGCAGTATTTGGTGTTGCTTAAATTAACCAAAATCATGTTACATGTATGCTGCATAATAAATACTATTGATCCCTTGAAATTTGGTTTTATGGTTTTATAATTAAACTGAAATAGTCAAAGACAGTATTTATTTTCATACTATAAATACTAAAATTTTTTGCCTATATTTCTGTTAACAGGTGGCGTGTATGCAGCTCATAAATGCCCTTGTTACTTCTCCAGATGATCTTGATTTCAGGATACACTTGAGAAATGAGTTTTTACGTTGTGGCCTGAAGAAGATATTGCCTGTAAGTCATTTGAATATAGGAATTGATCACAGTCAGCTGTTTGTGAATGTTGAAGGTAACCAAATTGTTTTACTGAGAGCAGCAGATGTGAAAGATGGGAGGTGGGGAAGGTCAGACCTGGAAAGGACTGTCAATCCAAATCTGGTTTCATTCTGCGTAGTTGCACATTTAAGATGTCATTAACTATGTAAACCAGAATGGTAGTTGAAACAGGTCAATATATTAGAAATTAAATTAGGATAGTCAAATTTAGCGTGAAGAGCTCAAAGCACATGGAGTGAACGTGAGTCTGACTATGGAACCAATCTTGGATTAACTTTCTTTGTATATGCTGTTCCTGTTGTTTTCTGTGAATTTTTTTTTTCTTTAATCAGCCTTCTGAAAAATGCATTTGGAATTTTTAAGGAAAAATCAAATCAGCTCCTTCATTCTCTTTGAGACGGTGTATCTTCATGCAGCTGCATGGAAGTATGCCTTTATGGGTAGTTGGGCATGAATATTTGTGACTTAGGGGCACGCCTATAGCTCTTAAGCATCAGAATAGTTTTTAGGTTACATCAAGAATACGTATGCTTTAGCTAGTCAACAGTTTCTCACAAAAGGTGAGAGAAACTAAAGAGTATGTGCTTATATTTGTCTGCAACGGAATTAATACTGCTATAATTTTAAGAATTATAAATTAAAGAATTATAAATTTCAAGTATTATAAACATTTGCCAGCAATAAAACCTCCAGTTTTTAGCACATTCAGCTTTGAAACTTAGTGATGTGTGTATGTTAGTTTTTCTTAGGGTAGGTATTTAGGTTTTATGTCATGTAGATATATTAATGTGATCTGCTCTCTTTATTTGCTATAAAACATCTGAAAGCCTGAAGAACTCTTAAGATTATTTTTTGGTGGGTTTTTTTTTTTTAAATCTACTGAAAATTATTTTACATAATCAATAAAGGCTTTAAAACTTTAAGAATTAGGGGTGGGTTAGGTGGCAAATAAACAGACTTGTAATAAATCACGATAGAAAACTTTGTAGAGTGTACTGACACACAGATATGAATTTAAAAGCAATTAGTATTTAGTGATAACAATTTTTTTTAAGTGTTGAACAGCTATTGTGTTGAAATTCTGTCTCTGGTAAGGTTAATTGATATTACAGCTTACATGAAATATTAACTACAGTAGTCAATACCATCTTGCTGTTTGTTTATTTGTGAGGTATTAATTACAACATACATATTGAACTCAGATCGTTAATTCTGCAGGGAACGAATGTCCAAGGTAGAGGTTGGGTTTTTTTTTTTTTGCATTAGAAAGCAACTTCCTTAATGATCTTAAGACTTTGGGCTCATATCTGTGCTTAGGGCTAAATTTTCAAGAAATTTATAAATGATAATTTCTTGGACAAAATATAAAAGATCAGGAGGAGAATCCGTATTTCTCTCTTAATCTGTCTAGATTCACAGTAGCCTTCTCCGGTTTTCAAATGTTAGAATTGGTATGAGTTTCTACTTTTTTTGGGAACATACGCAGTTGCCATTCAGTTTGTGCATATCCAGTTATGACAATTCCAGGCCAATTTTCGTTTAAAGCATGGAGTGCTTTCACAGTAGCAGCTCTTGAACTAGTTTCCTTTTTTGTGATTTGCCTAGTAGGAAGCTAAACTTGGTTCTTCAGTGTATTAGAGAAATTGCTTATATTTCTTAAGGAAAATCAAATTTTTCTGTGTTCCAAGTACTACCTTTTGTTATGTTTTTTATTTCTCAAGGTACTATGGGTGCTTTTTTGATTAATTTATATGATTAACTTCTGTGATTAACTTATGGATGTTTTTAGATTAACTTAATAGCAGAAGTTGTAAGTGTATCTTCTTTACGCTTCTTGCATTCACTTTCATTAATGTTTTGAAATCTCCTTATGCTATTTTTTACAAGAAACTCTGATATGAACAAGCATAAACTGCTGACTATATCCTATTAAGACAACTCAACTCAATTAGAAGGCTTCGTGTTTGTTTTGCGGCCCATGCCTGCTATATTTGCTGTTATTTTGCCTTAATTTTTCTCAGCTGTGCAATTATAATAAAAAAGCACAGGCACTGAGTTAGTTTCCTCCTATCCCAAAGGTTAATTTCTTATATTTTGTCATGATATAATCTTTGAAGGGGGGAATTCTTGCTTTAAAAAGGGGAAAATTAAGATAAGCTATGCCTTGAAAAATAGGGCTTGAAAGATAAGGAAAATGAAGAGCTTGATATTCAGCTGAAAGTGTTTGATGAGAACAAAGAAGAAGACTTAATTGAACTGTCACATCGTCTCAATGATATCAGAGCTGAAATGGAATATCCTTTATAGAAATGGTGTTGTAACTTGTTGCGTCATTTAGTAACTTTATTAAACATAAGTTAGAATGCTATATGTGCAGCTTATTTGTCACAGTTGTGTACCTTCTCAGGCACTTTCTCAAGCAGATTTCTTTCCACTTGTTTTTTGTTGAAAAATAGTACTTAAATTTGCATGCCAAAAAAATTTGTAAGTCATTGGGAACTGAATTAATTTTTCATAAATTAATTCATAAATTTCATTTACTAAGCTAAACTCCAGCTTGTAATACATGAAGATAGAAAATTACACCCATATTATATTATAATTATAAGTTTGAAGAAAAATTAGTTTTGATAACGTAAGTTGAAACAAAATTTCTAGTAGGTTCTGAAGCACTTAAGATGGATACCTTCTCTAGTTGTGAAGAAGTGGTAAATTTAAAGTTAAATTTAAAGTTCAGAATACTTGCTTGCAGTTTTTAAGACTAGTAGCTTGTACTTAAGCAGTGGAAAATAGGTGCCATCAATGAGAGGAACAGGAAATCACTAAGAAGTAACACTGTGGCATTACAGAATGGGTAATTACAGGTAATTTTCTTCTTAAAGAAATTAAAATGATGGATGTGTAATTGTCAATAGCCTGGCTCACTTTGTAATGAAAATGAAAGCTTTGTGTGAAATATGTTTACAGGTTTCTATGGCAGTAAGTATGTAGTATGATTTTTCTGAGAAGTAATAAAACATGGCTTAAATAGGGTATGGAGTTTCTATAGATAATCTTAGTGGAAAAAGGATGTTATTAGTAAGGATAGTAATTTGGAGTGTTGATAGGTTTTGCTTGCGCAATATGAACGATGTCTAGGGAACTGGGTTTGAGGTGGGTGGGTGTGTTGTGTAGTGGGTTGTTTTTTGTGTGTCTGTCTTTGTTTTAATTTTTCTTTTTTAAGACCTTTTATTTCCTTAACAAAGTTTGCACTGATGTGAATGAAGTATTTCATCTGCTGTACAATATGTTGAAAGATACTTCTTCTGAAAATTATTTCTTGTCAATTCTCCAACATTTTCTTCTCATCAGGAGTGATTACTATGTCCGGTAAGTATCAACTGTCAGGTTTGATTTTTTTTTGAAAGGGATAGGGGGAAAAATAGAAATCATGACCCTGGTAAACTGAGTAGGTCATAATCACGCATGAATAGTTGTTCTGTAACAGATGTGTTACTTGTCTTTCTGCTAAATTTTAATATTGAAAAGAACTCGTTAAATATAATAATGCTTATTTCAAAGAACTGTATTCTAATGCCTTCATCTCAAAATCTCTTAACTTGTTGACCGCTTTTGCTTTTTTTTCCGAGTTTGATAGCTTCATGACTTCAGAGAATCTGCAAGTTAGTGGTTTAATAATCAAAAATACTTCCACAGTACCTTGCATCTTGTGTTTTCAGTGTAAGCTTCTCTTTTGTGTACTTCATAGTGTCTTAGCAGTGTCAACGTACCACATATAAAATCTATTTTCAGGAAGTAATTTTTTTTGTTGTATAGGGGTGATAAAAACAATTGATATGCAAGATGGTAAAATTAGGAAGTAAAATACAACCTGTTAAATATTCAATTTTTATAACTTTTTTTTTTAAATTGAAAGTTTGGAATATCGTCAGTTTAGTTTTGAGGGTTTTCTACTTAGAGAGCTTCAGTAATATGTGAAATTGAGATGTAATACTTTGCACTGGTAAAAACTACTAACTTTGAAGACAGAATTTCCTCATCTTGGAGATTCCTGATGTTGTTGTATAGAGATGTATATCAAGCAATTAAGTTAATTATTAACTAATTTTCTAAGTCATTCAATACTGGGGCTGTTGCCAGTGATGGAATTAACTGTGTTGAGAATGTGCTAAATAATTCTTGTAGCATACACTGAAAATACTAAAGACGTTGTTGATTGTATTCATTATTGTCTGGCAAAGGATAAATGAAAAGTGCACAATGTTTTGTGGAGTCCTGAGCTAGGTATCCTTCTGAGAAACTAACAAGAGTGCTTCATTAGCTAGAACACAACTAAGACTCGATACTTTTACTGGCATTTGTACAACTCCTATATTGGGAATTAAATTTGCCCCTTTTTTTCTCCTCCACGTTGCATAAATGATTGTTCATGTTCTTATTACCCTGTAAAATGTTTTCTTTGGTAGACCTCAATATTACAAGATAATAGAAGAGTGTGTATCACAGATAGTATTGCACTGCAGTGGCATGGACCCAGATTTTAAATGCAGAGGAAGAATGGACGTGGATTTTACTCATCTTATCGGTTTGTATACAATAAGCAATTTTACCTTTTTTTACTGCAGTGCGCTTTTTTTCTTTGCCTGCTTCTGTCTAAACTTAAATTGACTGTGTGAATTTTTTCACTTTTCTGGTAACATACATGTAAGCTACAGGTGTTCTTGTGGAGAAGGCCAGACCAAGCTCTGCGGCATTTGATAAAATGACAATGATGATGTTTACTTTTCCAAATTTGTCTTGACTTATATCTGAATAGAATAGTTGTAATAACGAAAAATTGCTTGTCCATAAATTCTTTGAATTTCAGATCTTTTAGAAATAACAAAATTCCATTAGCATTAATTATTAGTGGATTTATAATTATTCTATGGTTAATTCTAAGAATTTTTTCTGTAATATTTTTCAAGTATTTGAGGTTAGTTTAAGGTCAACTAATCAGTTAAAGCATTGAGGGACTGTGGATGTTCATGTCATGTGGCAAAGAAGCAGCTGAGTAAATATCTTTGAAATGTCAGTAATCAGCATTTAGAAGTGTTATTTTTATGCTTTTCTTAAGATTGGTGGGATAGATTGTATTCTTGAAACACAAGGGCATCTGTAGAGTAAATATTTCATTGGAGGAAGTAATTGCTCTTGGAGAACACATTTATTTAGGAGAAAGTTGTTTTTTTTTTTTGGTGATGTGACAAAAGGATCAAATAAAGGATGTTGTACACGTTGACTTTGGGAGGGTGTGGAAATCGCTTTCTAAAAGACATCCTGTGTATCCAAGAAGCATTTCTGTATTTTCTGTTCACTTACAACTCTAGGAACATGGTAACTTGATCTTGCATTAAGATCTTACCTCACCTTGCTTTCTGTTTCCACTGACCTGCTAGTTTTGGGGATAACTGATTTGTGTTTCCATGCCAATTCCTAGCTATAGTATATAGCTACTTGTGTTTACCTCACTTATAAAATGTTTAGAGTTTTACACCGCCCGAAAAGTCAATAGAAGTGCTTTATACATGTGAGTAAGGATTTAGTCCGTCCAAATTCTCCTTGCCTACAAAAAATTTTACTGAAATAACAAAATGCTTGGTTTTTGCATTCCTGATCTGGAAAGGAGACTTTCTGATTTGGAACCTCAGAAGTAACTATTACTTCATACTAACGGAAAAGTCCTTTTTTCTTACTTTAGTAGTAGATTCATATAAAAGAGAAAGGCATGCAAACTCAAATCTGTCGGAGGCAGAACAACTATGATGAATCATCTTCAACTTTATTGGTCATGTGTCCTCACCACTTTTTTATATTTACAGATTTTGCTTATCAAAATAATTCACCAAATGTTTGGTCAAATCAATCTAGTAATTCACTGTGGTTTTTATCTGTTCCTCTGTGTCACCGGGTCATAGGGTAATTATGGTTGGAAGGCACCTCAGAACTGTGGTATGTTTTACCTGACTTCTCTTGTGGTATTTTATTTAAATTCTAGATGCATGTGTGGACAAAGCTAAAGTAGAAGAGAGTGAAAAGAAAGCAGCAGAATTTTCCAGAAAGGTAAGTGCTAATCATAACTCTTTTTAAGGTATGGAACAGAAGCCTGACAGGAGCAAAGTAGGCTTGTTTAACAGTAGAAACGTAGCGTGTTTCACAGGCAGGATGTTCTTTCACATTTAGTAGGTCTGTGGGTTTGGGTTTTTCTGTGTGTGTGTTCATGGCTCAGATTCAGCTTAGTCTGAATACCTGAGCAGCTGTCTAGTATTGGCTGTACGTATCTTCAGTTGTATCCTCTGCTGTAGATAACTGATGGGAAAAATTCCTCTTGTTGCTATTTTGTCCTGAAATACTTAGTCATAGTTAGATACCTACAGTGCAGGTACATGCTTAAAAAACAAACCAAAACAGAACTGGGGGCAAAGCGTTTATAACTCTTCAGCTAGCTTTGCTTTAGAACCTGAAGAAACTTACTGAAAAGCAGTGTCATTCTGTGTTGAAAAACCGTCAACTCTTTAGGCACAGAGATACTAACATTAAAATACTGCTTTACTTTCTGAAAATGCCCATGGACAATTTATGAAGTTATGAGGAAGAGTAATTTATTTCCTGATTATTCACGTTTAGGAATCTTCCAGTGCATTTTTAGAACCTGTTTTCCTAACAGTTTTATACTTCTGGTCCAGTTCTCTTTTATTAGGAACTTGATAACGAAGTCCTATTTTGGTCATGGGCAATTTTCTTTTATTACTAGATACAGGAGAGGTTAGACATTTTAAAGTGATTTCTATAGGAAGAATTGCAGCTCAGTATACTTCTAAGAAAATTTTGGGGCATGTTTCTAAAGAAATTGATTCTTGCCCTTCTGTTTTATCGCTATTTGTGTTTGTGCTGAAAGTATTTTCATACAAAATGTTTTCTCCAGTTGCTTAAATTCTGGTTTCCTAGATTATGTTAATGGCTAATTTATTAATTGCATCTCATTGCGTCCTGCCTAAGGATATGAAATGCTGAATGTACTGTATTAGCTGCAATAGTACTGAAGTTCATACACCATGTTGTTGTCTATTAAAAGCATTCAAAACTGTGATTTTTGCTAGAAGGCTAAGGAGCCTTTTTGCAGGCCAAAAGGCGGTACATGTTCTTGAACATGGTGATTACAAATTTCAAATGAAGGGTTGCATGAAGTAATTAGCTTTTCTCTCTTCAGTGTTAAGCGTGGATGTGTTTTTAATAGAGGAGATATGGTGTCTGAGCTTTATAGAAAGCAGACTATTGTGATGCTTCCCTGGCAGAGTTATTTATCATAATGCACTTCATTAGTGGCAGTCAACATGTTCTTCCTAGTGATAAGTTGTTTTGTCCTGCGGAAGAATGAATAACAGAAGCTTTTAAAGATGCTAATAATCTTTTAAGCCTAGCAAACAGTAGCAGGATGAAAATACACAACAAAATTCTCACAAGCATGTTGTAAACTGGTCTTCTGTTTTATATGGTGACATCAAGACTAAAGGGATCACTGACGTATTTGGATACCTCCCTTACGTTACTTTATGGATGATACTGCTGAAGCCGCACACGTGTCTCTTCAGATTTAAGCTCGCTGTACGAGATGTGTGCTCCAATTTAGTTTGAGAAGTCTGCAGTGTTCTGTTGCTGGGAGGGGAAACCTGTGGAACTTACAGCTTTATGAAGTAGCTGGATCTGAGTGGTTCTGTGTCATTGACTTACTGAAGGAAGACATTAAGTGGTACTAGAAAAACAGATACTGGAAAAATACTTCTTTTTTTTCTTTTTACAAGTGTTAAAAGTGCATCTCTTGCTCTAGTTGTGATATTGTTTAAAGAATTAGTGAAAATGTAATATCTAGTGTGGGCATAAATGGACAAACACTTCTGTATTGGTTAATCATTACAGTTTGATGAAGAGTTCACAGCTCGGCAAGAGGCACAAGCAGAGCTTCAGAAGCGAGAAGAGAAAATCAAAGAACTTGAAACAGAAATCAAACAGCTACGAACCCAGGTAATAAAACTAAATCACAGTAGGTTCCACAGTCGAGTTGATATTTTTTTATTTTTTTTTTAAGAATTGAAAAGAAATTGATCTGTAGTATATTTTTTCTATGGAATTTGAAATGTATGTTATAGTTGTATTGATTTGTTTTTAAGCCAGCATAAACTATTAAGGATAGTTAACGGAGGTAACATTTTTCAAATAGTGGTATATTCACCACCTGTGACAGATACTTGCTTTATTGAGGAAAAAATTTTCTCAGGCTATGAGAAGTTTGAATCCGGCCAGGCTTTTTTTTCTCCAAGTGTTTTTTTATGCTTTAATATTTCAAGTTCTGTACATTTTGCAGAAAGTGTTTATTTTGGAAGGCTTTATACTTGAATTGGAAAGGTGGACATCATGATAGCTGTGTGTGCACAATATACATGCCTTTCAGCATGTGCATGCAATTGATAAGATCAGTACTTTTTTGAACTCTGGATATTGGACTTCTGAAATTAATATTACACTAGCTTTATACAGTCTTATAGGTAAATATAACAAAAAAGCAAGAACTTGTGGAAGAGGAAGGTGATAACTTCGTTTCAGCAAAGCTGATTTTACTTGCATTCATTTCCTCATAAATTTTGCTCACAAGCACCAAAACTGTATCTCAGTGTCCTGTGCAGGGTTACTTGTGAAGCAGAGAGGACAAGAAATGCTGCCTGTTGAGCCCTTACATCATCTCCTGGGTTCCTTTTCTTTAATGACGATGAATTGGGTTTTAGGCAGGTCTTTTATACCCTTTTGGAACCAACAGATACTACAGTTTGATGCTTACGCCTTAGCCTGGCTTATTTCCTACTCCTTCAATGCTAGGCAAGGTCTGCTTGTTGCCTTTTTTCCCTAATGTGGATCTCTTAATGCCTTTGATCTCACATCCTATTTGGATAATAAGAGGAAGAATAGCTTGTGATGTACTGTAACCTGGTTGCCATCATCCTGCCTTCAGAATGCTGGTCTTGTGCTGGCAAGTTGTCTGTGCTGTAGCCTTATCAGAGCACTGGCCTTCTCATCTTAATGTAAGCACGTTATGTTGCAATTGGATTGCTGTTCATTGTTGTTGTGTCCTTCGCTAGCAATACAAGTCATTGTTGTAACCTGTGGTGCCTTATGATTTCTTAGTCTGTTTTCACACACAGACACTTCTGTTCATACTTTGTTCTTAGCAATTTTAATGTTTGCTACAAATATCTGCAAGACAATGTCACACTGAAACTTGACAGTCTGTTTTAATGAGTTCTCCACCAATTTTTGCATTATAATTTGTGTAGTAGTTTGTGGGCCAAGGAAACACATGCCTTCGGCAAAGCAAAAATTAATTTTTAGTCTAAATAATTATTATTCCTGTTATTGATTCTAACGCAGTTCAGATTATGGAGGCATTACAGCTCATTCACAATAATGGTGCAATTAGAAGTGATACATGTTAACTTCCCAGTATCTGTGCCTTTTCTCTCTAGCGTTTATGCGTCCCATATTAGAATTGACATTACAATTGCTCTTCCTTCCTATCATTGCAGAAACAACTGCAGACAGATTTAAAAGACAGCATGATTTGTTTTTTTCATCCCCCTCCTCCAAACAAGATGTCAGGATAGCTATGAACAGCTGTGGTCCCATAACCTCTCTCAATACAATAGCTACTTCAGTAGCAAATTTTCCACCGGCAGATCAGTGTTGTTAAAATGCAGCATGGCTATTGCCATCTCTGATGTCCCAGCTTGCCAGGGTATCCTAAGTGGGATAAATGTTTTGTGCATTGGTAAGAAATAAAATGCTGTTCTACTCACTTAAATGTTACTGCTACTATTAAATTTTCTTTAAAATGGAAACAATTTGTTTTTATAAAAATGCTAGGTTGTTCAGTTTACTTGGCAGTTTTATGGGACATGGTATAATCCATTGTTATTGCTTCTCATTTAAATAGAAAAATAGTTGCATTTCTCACTTTCTTGAGGTACAGTTGACTACAAGGCATCTTAGTTGGTTCAACTTCATATTAAACTTCCTCCCGCCCCCAGTGACAAGAATTCCCCTCTTACATTTCAGGGTCCAAGCCTGACAGGTCAAGTGACAGAAGGAGCACCATTACCTCCAACCCTACCAAGTGAGAATGTGCCACAATCCCCAGCGCCTTCATTACCTGGTGGAGCAATACCTCCTCCTCCTCCGCCACCTCCACTACCTTGTGGAGTAATACCTCCTCCGCCTCCGCCTCCTCCGCCTCCACCTCCTCCGCTGCTGGGTGGAGCAGCAATACCTCCTCCGCCTCCGCTGCCTGGTGGAGCGGCACCACCCCCTCCTCCACCGCCTCCACTGCCTGGTGGAGCAGCACCACCTCCACCTCCTCCGCTACCTGGAGCAGCACCACCTCCACCACCTCCGCTACCTGGTGGAGCAGTACCTCCTCCTCCACCGCCGCCTTTTGGTGGGCCTCCAATGCCACCACCTCTTGGAGGTGCTCTTTTTGCTCCCTTTCCGGTGACACCAGTGTTACCACATGGGATGAAGGAGAAGAAAAAGTACAAGTTGGAAGTCGCAATGAAGAGAATCAACTGGTCAAAGGTATTACAATGTTTGTTTTTATTCCTATTGATGAAAAGTAGTTTTTGAGGAACAAGGAGGTAAAGTGCTAGGGTTTATGTTGGATTATTAATAGTACTCTTGAAATTTGGGGGATTTATTCCATTCTTTATCCAAAACATTTTTGATGCAGTGATTGTGACTCAGTTGTTACGGGTTTTTAAAGACACCTTATGCTCTGGGGTAAGCACCAAGTGTTTAATTCTGCCAAGAGCCTGTAACACCCCATATTCTGGGGATACCTGTAGCTAACAGCTCTCAGAATCTTGGCTGATTTTGTGTAGAGTTAGGTTCTACATATTTTGAGCTGTAATTGATATTTGACTTGTCAAGTGAGCACTTCAAAGGTCTTGTTTAAAGTGAGTTTGTTATCAAACAATTAAAATGTTTATAAATAGTTACTACTTTTTTCAGCAAAAAGTTGTTAGTTAAAGGATTGCTGGGTTTTAGGATAGGGAAAACGAATCTTGAAGTAGACAACTGGATGGAAAACTGTTAGGAAGACTACCATTTAGCAACTCTGACAGTCTGGCAGTTGACAGAAAGAAGGATCTGGAGTCAAGGGTTAACTACAGCTGTTTGCTTGATTGAAGTAGCTGTGGCTGAGTAATAAGAAAAGATGTTTAGAAATGAGTATTAAGAAGTTTTACTGGAGTATCTAGGTACAAAATACAGGAAAAAATGCTATAAATGGGTACACGGAGTTTGGGAAGACAATGCATAGCAGAACTCTTTAGTTTTGTTGTCTTTGGCTATGGGAGCCATAAATTATATGTCTTATATTTTATTTTCCCTTGCTTTTTTGAGGACAGGTTGAAAGTGGATCAGGCTTTCAGAGACTGTATTTTTAGCTTTGATATCTTCTTGACAGAACGGTGCATGATTGGTTTGGTTATGCCTTCTATGAATTTCTTTTAAAAATGAAGTATGAGTGAAATCACTATGGTGGAAATTCATTGGGTTATGTAGCTTCATTTTAAAAGCCTTGCATGAAACTTAAAAACTTGACTAGCTTGAAGAGTATGAAGGCATTTGCTTTCTAATTTTTCTAATTGGAAGAAATAACTCTATACTTACTGTGATAGTAAGTATAAAGACTTCAACTACTGAAATTTTGTGTTTTAGGACAGATGTCTTGACATGAGGTTAAAAATTATTTTAAGATCAGTCCTCTGAATAAATACAGTAATTTACTATAAATTAAAGCATCTAATTAAGAAATGATGCCAATTATTTTGTGCTCTTATTTCTTTTGTTCTTGTGATATGTTCTGGAAGTTTGAAAGGAAATTTGACTTTCAGTGCTTTACCCACCTGTCAATGATAGGTGTACTACAAAACACACTTTAATAGCGCTTTTCTTTCTCTGAGAAAGGCAGGTGTTTACCCTGTTAAGACAGTTGCAAAACTTATCAGAAGGTTCTAAAGGTAATGGTATTATTAAACATCAGTTTTTATTGTAAGCACTGAAGAAATTTTTACTAAAGTGAGTTTTTAGCTATCTGGCTTTCTGTGAAATTATTACTGCATTTGATTTAGCAGTATGTGATTTAATGTTAAACTTGAGTTAAAGTCATGGCTCTATTAGAGTTTTGAAGTTGATATTCCTCCCCCTTCCTTTGCTTCACAAATGTTGTCGATACTGTGTACTATAATGAGTTTTTAAATGAGATTCTTGTTGGCAGAACTTCGTGTTTGATGTTTGACAGATGAATATCCCAGGAAGCTAGCTTAGTTCTAATACAACAGTCTTTTAAAGCAAGTCTATGGGTTGCACATTGCTGAGCGAGTGATTTCTTTCCATGAGAGCTTTCGGAGAATGTGTGCTAAGCTCAGTGGATTTATGTAACGACAACAGGACATGGCAGTACGTAACTGCTGTGTTTACTTTTTGTTTTGGCCCTATCATGAGGGCAGGTCTGAGTGGACACCTGTGACTCTTCTGAGGTATGTGGAGTATGATTGGTGGGTGAATGCTCACCAAATTTCATAGCTCTGCAGAGAGTTGCTTGTATTGTTGGTCTCTGTCAAAGCAGAGTGAAAAGCTGTGATGACCCAAATGAAAAGACAGGGCACCGTTCTGTTAGATGCAGTGAACACAAATTGGGGCTTTACATTAAGTTGCATACATATATCCAAACCATTAGGAATAGTTTTAAAGCAGTTTTTCAAACGTAGATAACAGCATGCTCTTTCATGTAGAAACCTTCTAAGTTGGTGATGTCAATGTAATTATAAGTTCAGAGGATGCTGGTAATTGTGCTATAATGGTACTTGTAGGTAATTAATCTGAGATGTTTATTGGTTGTTTCAAATTAGTAATGTGCTAGGGGAGGCTTATGTCCACTGGGAGGAGCTATGGGACTGCTCAAGTGAAAGGTTTGGGCACCATGAACTTCCAATGAATGTGAGCACAGTCTTAGCAATTTGGTTATGTTTAATCAAATTTCATTTTTTAAAACATCTTTAAACATAAACATTTACTTAAGCAGGAAACTGCAAGCACAATCTCTGATTTGCAAACTAACCTGAAAGAGCAGTTACTAATAATTACTTGCCTCTCGATATAATTGGTCACTTTGCGACAAGAGAAGTTATGCAAGTACCAAGTGTGTGTTTGCATATGTGTTGCTTTAAAGTCCCTTTTTAATCAGTACAGCCAGTGTTCCTTCCATATAAAGGAAATAAATTTGGGGTACTAGATAATTGCATCTGTCATCCAGACTAATCCATCACATCTTAAGGGTAGTTTGTGTCTGGCAGTTTTTTAGTGGTATAAAATGTGATGGATAGATGTATTGAGGTTTGCTGTAGGAAAAAGTAGATAGATCGCCAAATCATCAAGACAGATCAAAGGAGGACCTTTATATATTGCATGCTATCTGGTTTGAGCTCTAGCTTGGACTTCAGTGTAGTTTAACTGGATACCTGCTACTTACTTGTCAAGGTACTAAATCTCTGTACTACCAGCTAGTGTCTGACACTTTCCTGCAGAACCGTGTTTTATCTCAATAGTGTGTTGGTACCAAGAACTTAGTAAAATCAATTGTTGGATGAAAGTAAGCTGTTAAGTGGCTACAGATAGTCATTGCTGACCATAAGCTGCAATTTAACATTGAACAACTGTTTATAACTTAAATTGCACTCTGAACTAGTGCAGGGTTTTTTTCAAGATGTTTCACAGCTGGTAAAACCATTGGGAAATTCATATGGATGTAGATATACATCTCTCTGTGAAGTTGGGTGTTATCATGTTGTCTTGGATGGAGCTGGATGAGAGGGGGTGCCAGATGTTGCTCTTGGCTGAAGATGTGATATCTTTTCGATAAGAAGCCTCTGAAATGAATCATATCATTGCATAGCAGTAACAGTCCTTTGCAGACTGATTTCACAATATTCCTCGGACACAGGATCATACGTCCATCGAGTTCTAAGATAACTGATCTACCCTGTCAGCCACAATAGAATTTCAGTTTTAAGTGTACGTAAAGATGGATGGTCTTAGGGGAACAGCACTGGACTGCGTTATGAAATCATTGTTATTTTTCCCATGGGGTTTTTCAGGTGATTGAAAGTAAGTTGCTGTGTAATGTTTCTGAATATACACCATCACCATTTCAAGTAAAACTTTTCAAAAGCTAGTAATGACAGAAGTTTACTGTTGGAAGAGGAACTAGACTGCCCTCTGATATTTTTGAATAAGTGATCTTAATTGTCTTTCTAAATAGAAAGTAAGCTTAGGTTTGTGTTCCTCTAATTTCTGAAGTGTTGATTAGTGAAATGGCTCTTTCTTTGGAGTAACAAATAAGAGCAGTATCATGAATGATTAATCCCACTAATTTGGGAAAGACGAATCTAGAAGGTTGAGATAAAACCTGTGTGGAAATGCATGGCATGTCAATTTATAGTCTCTTTAATCAGAAGAATGAATGTTTATAACTTGCCTTTACTATTTTGTCACTGGATTTCAAAATATTTGGAGATGTGCCAAAATAATCTGAAAGTGTATCTACCGTTAGTAGTTTAAGAACAGGCTTTCAAAATATTTAGGTAGAAGGATATTCAAAATAGTCAACCATGTTTTTAATGTATTAATTTCAATAAATGTTAAAACAAATTTGAAACTCTTTACTTTTTCTGTCTGTAATTCTTATAAAATTATCTGCATATAAGGATAAATGATAACTTTTTTTGTGGGAAGAGGAATTAAAACTATCTAGGGGGAAAAAGACTAAATCTTTAGTTTTGGTTAACATGCATCAGTGTGCATTCTTAGTGCTACAGTACATTATGATAGTGCTGAAAACTTCAGGCCTGTTATAGTGAATTGTAGGTGAGGGTGATGTTACAAGTAACTGTAGAGGGGGCAGCAAAATGAAATTGGTGAGGGCTTTTCTTTGTTTATTTGCATATAACTCTTAGCGCATTTAGAGAAAACCAAAGTTTTTTTGTGAATAGATGTTAACTTAATTGCTTCTGAATTTAAAAGTAATTGTATAGTTCTGCTGTTTTAAAAAAAAACCATCTGTACAGAATATCTTTAAGCTTTTGCCAGCCACACCAGTATATTTTTTTTTTTTTAGGAGAAAAATGGACTGTTTTAAGTAGCCTAGTTGTATTATTAAAAAGAAACAAGAAGGTAGGAGTTATCATACTGGAAAAGATGTTCATGTTTTAATTTAAGGAATATGGCATTAGCTAGTGTTGGTATTCAGAGATCTGGGGTTGCGTTTTAACTTTGAAATTCATCTAGCCATATAAAAGTCCGTTTAGTTCATGCACTCTTATGAATCATTTGCATTATACAACTTTGTAACTTTAAAAAGCCTTTATATATGTAAAAAAAATCACTTCCTCACCTATGAAATGTTTATTGTCTGTTGAAGATATTTTACCATTGAATGTCCTTGTCATATTTCTGTTTAGAAGATTACTCTCTTCAAAGCTTGTATCGTACAATTTTCTGGATTTTTTTTAAAAACCATTTTTCCTCCTTTTGAAATGGAGCTCTGATGTTTTAGAAAATCATTTCCACCTGGGCTTTTAAGAAAATGTTTTGTGACTGTTATTTCAGTTAGCTTCTTTTACAATCTTTGGCTTTCAGATTTTTATATTAACCCCTTGTACCTGTTTGGGTATTTCCATCTGGACTTTTTTCCTTACGGAATACAGGTTTCACCACAAATTTATATTTTGTCAGTATTCTTAAGGCGAAGAAGAAAATTTGTATGCCATTGACAATATTATTGTCTCCTGAAGTTGCAGTTCATATTTGACTCAACACTGCTTTGTCTGGTTAGGATAGTTTCTCTCCTACAATCCATTTATATTTTTCATTTATTTAGGCATCTCACTTAAGCAGGGTAGGATTCCTGCCATATGCGTAACTTAGACTTTCTACACTCAGTTGTCCTTGTTAAGTAATATCTGATTCTAGAGTTAGTTGCACTAGTTTTGTAACTGTGAAATACACTCAGACTCCTATGCTGTAAACATACAGAAAAATATGGTTTTTAGTTTATAATACATATTTGTCATTGCAGCCAATTTCATTACAATCAATTGTGTTTATGTGTTTATAGAAGTAATTTATAAAGTGTACATCTGAACACTGTGTGTGACAGTGGAAAGTAACTACAGATGGACACTTTGCTAAAGTGCTCTGGGAAGAGTGCCAAAGACCTCCTGCATGCTGAAAAAGAAGAAAGTCTATTTGATCATCACTTTTAAGGAGCCATTATTTTGGGAAGAAAATTCTTTTCAATTTAGTGCCTTTTGTTATAACTGTGTCCACCATTAGCATTGGATTAAAGTAGTTTTTAAAGATGTCTTATCTGCAGCTAGTGGTAAAGCAGCTACAAGTTAACAGGTTGATCGTATGACAGAAGGTGGAGGACCAACGTGTTGCAGTGAAATCCTAAGTGAGGCTTACAGGCGTAGTATTGATAAACTTCCTGCATATCATGTTGAAGTTAAACAGCCCTTGAAAATGAATTGGCATTTAAACGAACCTGTAAGCAAGAATTGATAAGACTTTAAAAACTGGAAGGGGAACATATTTTGAAAACAAAATAGCTGTTCTGAATTATACATGAAAACTAAAATTGGCTTTCAGCTTCTATATTGCGGACTACTTCTTTTAATATAGCCAGTATCAAATAAGGTACTGTAATGAAATCTGTGTTTACATTTGAAAAATGGAAGTGATTAAAAAAAAAATATGAATTTATTTCAGTTACTTAAAGATAATTCTTCCTACAGACTTAATATTGAGTCACTGAGAGGTCCTCATGGACATATCATTTTCAAATAACATATTCCAAACTCTGGCAGCGTAAGAAAGACTATTCCTTCTACAGTCCTCAAGTAGCAGGGATGTGTATCAGTGGTGAAGAATTTGGGAACTGTCTAGAAAGTAATCAAGAGAAAGCTAGAATACTTTCAAACTGAGATATTACTACGTTATCAAGCCTGTTTGGAGAACTTGTTGAATGGGAGAAATATAATAAAAATAATATTGTGTAGATAAAAGGCAGTTCATCTGGTTGTGTTTTGTTTAGGAAGCATCTTTAAGACAACATAATACCAGGAACATACCTAAACTTAATTCAGTCCAGTTATCACAAAAGTCTAGTAACATTTGCTTTACCTTGTTTGCGGAAAATACTAGGTATTAACTTTGGAGATGCCATTTTTCTTTCAGATTGAGCCTCAAGAGATAGCAGAAAACAGCTTTTGGGTAAAAGCTGAAGAAGATAAATTTGAAAATCCAGAACTGTTTGCAAAATTGGCAGTTACTTTTGGAACGCAAATGAAAGGTATATTTCTCTTTGACTTTGTATTATGCTTTTATTAAGTTTGAAACTGTGAAGTGACAGTCTCTTTTATGCTTTGTGCAATACCATGGAATTCATATAATGATTTTATAGCAGTATGTTTTTACTAAGCATAGCAGTCTATTACAAGAATTGTTCCTCCCTTACTTTACAGCATGAGGGGAGGAGCCTTTTGTAATAATACTTCTTAAAAGTACAGAGTATGTTGCAAACAGATGCGTATTTTCTTCTAATTAAACACTAATCCTAAGATCATGCTCATCTGCATTAATATTCCTAGCTGCAGGAACTGTAAGTTGTCAGGTTCTTCGAGATATTTCACCCATGGAGGGTTTGTGTAACAAAAATTTACTTGCTTGTATCACTCTGCTAAATCAAAATCCTCTACAAGTACGAGTCAGACTTAAAATGTAGCAATTACAATATGCAGTTGAATCACAAAATCACAACTCTTTATTATACCTACTGTCACGATTCTGGAATATGCGGATTGAAACCATGGTTCTCTCCAGAGTTCTTGTGTTTGAGAGCAAAGACTAAGGACGCTTTTTTTTTTTTCTGGAATACTATATGCAGCTGTCATTTAAGAAAAATGATTACAAATCCTTTAATCAATATTTAAATTTGTGCTGTATAATTTAAGAAGCATCCCCCCGCAAAGTTATATACAGTTAAACTGCATTGTTACTGTTAGTAGTGAATGATGTAACTTAGTTTTTAAAGCGTTGAATGCGTGAGTGCACGCTCTTTAAACTGTTTGCATAATACCATGGTAAAGTGTCAGGGAGTCTACCGATTTTGTTGGAACGCAGTGTGAAATGGGTCTGACTACTAGAGAGAACAATACAGTAAGAATAAAAACTATGCTGGAGCTCTCTGTCAAGTATAAGTGAGGCTGCTGGGTATGTCATGTGAATAGCTCTTCTGCTATTGGTTTTAGATGAAAAAATCATTAATTTCTCAAACACTTAATTCCTTCAATTGGAGATAGGATAATATTTATATTTTGAGTTGGGAATGCAACTCTGAATATTGGTTATGATTTTGATACTTTAATACCATCCTCAGCTCTTCACGGCTTTCAGATGGTCTTTCAGTACTTCTGAAGCCTCTTCAAGGCTTTTCATTATTATCCATGGTTAATGGTCAATTGATACGTATTTCATATGTGGCCATTTACTGGTAATTTGTTTCAGGCAGTGAAAAGAAGCAAGTACTGCTGAAGTATGGTTCAATAATAACTTGCTCAGGAGCTAATGAGGAAGTCCAAGACGTGGTAGATACTGAAAGAATGAATTCCTGATTTAGCTACAAATCTTTTTTCTGTTTATCAGCCAGTTAAATATGATGTATTATACGAATGTGCAGTTTTTGAAGGTGGGTAGAGTCAGATGTATCAAGTGTTCATAGGTGGGTAGAGTCAGATGTATCAAGTGTTCATAGGCGAAATCTGAATAAGCAAACACACACTTAGGATTTTGTAGTGAATGTGTGTACTGACTGTAAGTGTGTTTGTGTTGCTGGGTTTTTTTACTTTAACTGTTTGGCTTTGAGAATTAAAAATTCAAGGGATACTTTGTATTTTAACTACAGGGAGTTTTCTGTTTTAATTTGAACCACTAGAATGCTCTCACTTCTGTCAATTACTTGAGGATTTTATGACTTCAAAATTAAATTGTATTGCACATAGCAGTTTGTGCTGTCCTGGCTGTTGTCTGAATTTCAGGAGTAAGAACTGCAGTTTACACTTACACAGGTTTTGAAAAGTTAACTCGGATTAAGGAAGGTCTCTCAGAGGACCATAACTTTCCTGAACCATTTCTTTAGTAGATTCCTTGAGTTATTTCTGAACGTCTTTTTCTGTGCACTTTTGAAACCCCTTCAAAGAGTTATCCATAGCTGTGTTTTTCATAAAATAAATATACAGTTCTTACACTCTGAGCTCTTGCTCTATTCAGTAGTCACTGAATCTGAGCCATCAGCTTTGTGCTTTTATGATGCTTCCCACTTCCTGCTCCTGTCCTGTTCAGACATTACATGCAGGAGCGCAAAAGCGTCATCTGCAGTAATTTAGCACTTCTTTCCATACCGGTTTGATAGATTCTTGGTTCATAGCATTGCAGTGGGGTTGAAATGATGTGGAGTTTGTCACTGGTTTTAGTGTGACAGCAAGACATGAAAACTATTAAGGGAAAGAACCTCTAGCAGCAGATAACACTTACAATGGAATGAGACTCTTAATGAAAATGTCAGGCTTCTGCCTTGAGCTGAATTCTTTCTTCAGAAATCTGAAGAAATGTTTCTGAATTCCTGAAAAGCTTCTTCATTAAAAATGCTGAAAAAACCCTATTGAAATTTTGACATAGCTGTTGGTTTCATATGAGAGGAAATTCTTGTTAACATAGTTGCACAGTTCTAAAACTATGAACAACAGAAAGTCTCCTAATAGCTTACTGTGGTGATAGCCTTGCAGGTATTTTTCCCGTTCTTCCATATGTTCTCAGTTAATGGTTGTAGAAAATAATGTGCCATAGGAAAGGATGGGATGACTGTTAAAAACGCTACTATGTATTACCCAGGACACTAAAATCTTATTTGGCGGACAAGTAGAGAAAGCCAGCGTTGTTTTCCTTTTGAGTTCCAAGTTTTTCTTAAAACTCGAAAACCTACTAGAAGTCAAGAAGAGTCTCAGAAATTTAGTTGCAGCACAATCTCAAATAATTGCGTTCCACAAACCACTTTTTTCTGCAACTGCTATCTGCAAAGGGAGACATTAAATGATAATTGCTATTCTTCCTCACCTTTTGCCTTAACAGCCACAGTCAGCTCATTAATCCCCAAAATACTTATTTTGAGCATAGTCTAGGATCAAATTTCTCTTCTGCTTTAGTCCCATTTCTTGGTGTGGTCTCATAATATATTACAGGAGAATGATAGAAAGACAAATAGAAGTGCATTTCATACTCTCTGGAGAGAACAGTCAGCATGTAAAACAAATAAACAGATGAGTGGAAGAAAACTGACAACTGCCAAAAGCAATTTTGATGACTTAGTGTTTACTATCTTGTATTTCATGGCATTTTGGAATGCCAGTGGGAATAGTAACTGAATTAAAACAAATGATAGTATGCACACTTAGAAATTTGTAATTCCATATACGCTGCAATACTCAAATCTGATTAAATCTCTGAATTCTATTAATGATTCTCTGGCACAATGAGAATGAAACTTAGGGTTTTTTCCTTATTTAACATAGTTTTATTTTAAGATACTCCAGGAGTAACTTCATGTTGGTTGTCACTACACTATGTGCTGCTTTGCTACCTAAGTACCTTTTCAAGGAAGGCAGCCAAAGCTGCGGGGAAGTGGTACTTTTGGAGACCAAAAGTCGGGGGGGAGTAATAATACAAAACTTCTGAAGCACATTTTTCATTAATGAATTATTCCATTCATCAGTTAGCTGTTTGTAAAACATGAGTGTTCAATCACAGAGCACCGGGAACAAAAAGGAATGTTCCCTGACTGGTAAAATAATTGTATTTCAAATATACTTAGATCCAAATTGTCTTTTAAAAAGTATACATAAGGTTAAATCTTTAGTTGGTACTGTAACATTAGATATTAATACTGATGCTCCATGAATATGTAGAATGTATTTAGTTAGGTTGAAATTAGTACTAACAGTCAAACTGCAGTATTTGGTCTGTGAAATGAGGTACTCCGCACAGTTATGGAAGCATCTGTTGTACGGGGAGCAATGGAAACATTAAGAAGTATTCCCTTTCAGACTTTACAGGACTTCGAGATCTTGGGGTTAGAACTAAGTTAACTGAGATCTAATTATCACTGTCTCAGGACAGTCTGGAAGGGTTTTCTCCATTTTTCTTAAAGAGAAAGGTGATCCAAATATCTTTTAAGGGTCTCTGATGAATGGGCTTCAGGGCTTCAAATTTTCATTAAAGGTCTTAAATAAGTGTTTTGAGCTTGTAATTGTGCTTCCAGGTGCAGAGATGGAAGCCATGATTATAGTCTTGTAGACCGTGTTGGCAAATAAAAGATATTCCAATCAATGTGCAACTGTGGTGGTTGTTAATGAATTGGGTGGTATTAAGATGTGGGGCAGTTACTGCATTGTGGTGGCAATGGAACACACAGATGCATATTTCCTTGTGTAACTGCACAGGGGAAAAGAGTGGAGGTGGCATGAGTTTCCAATCAATTACTTGTTTTCTTTTGAGCTGGTTAATACTAAGACAGAATCTGATATCATCCAGAATTTTATTTCGTGAATTGTGCTTTGCTTAAAAGGGAAAGCGATGATTTTTCTAGTGAAAACACATATCATCCTCTTACGTTTTTTGTCATGACTTGAAAATTTCAGGCTCGGTAGTATTTGATTTGCAAAATAATCTTATCATGGATTGATTTGTGTTTTGATATTTAAATAGCAAGAGGAAGGAATTCTATTGAGGTATTGTTAGCTCAAAATTATCTTCTTATTTTTAAAACAGTTAAATCTTGCCTGCAAGAAATGGTCTCTTCAGGCAAGTTTTTTTTCTTTTTAAAAGCAGGATTACCTTTACATATTGAGGTCTTTTCCTTTTTAAAACTTGTGTGATCAATTTTAGGCTTTGTGCGATCACATAAATGTTTCCTTAATCAAAAAAAAAAGTCCTTTCCAGTTTATTTCACATCTCCTTTATACTCCATAAACTCAAGAATCCTCCTTAGTTGGATTACTTATTATGAACACTGCAGTATTTCCTCATAAGTGAGGAGAGATCCAAGTGGTCAGATAAATGCATCTTGTCTGAGTCTGTTATGTGATCTCAAGTCATTAATTGCTGTTAACACACAGTGAAATAATGGGGTGTGTTGTCAACGAAGAATGCCTTCTTGTTGACGTCTTCAGATTCTACCGTCAAAATAAATATGTATTTTTGATTAAATGAATAATAGTAACTTTCTAGTGAGGGAAATAG